CCACGACTCCCGTTTCTTTATCAGTGTGGTGTTGCCCGACGCAACACAAAATTAAAGGAGTAAGAAAAATAGAGAGGGGAAGGCTTGAAATTTAGATTTCCAAGTGGCAGTTATTAAGAGTGACCTGGGGAAAGAGTGATATGTCAGACCGCTTTCCAAAGATGGCCTGACAATGCTTTTCATTATTTGCCCTTCTACAATGTGACATTGACACACCTCCATTAAGAAGTAGAATCTTCTTGGTCCTTCTGCCTGCTCTGCTCCCTTCTCTGGCTCTGGTGAATTCTCTCGCCCTCCCGCCCTTCTGACTGTACCCAGTGCTTGTATAAATAAATAAATATATCTTAAAAAAAAAAAGTATAAAAAAAAAAAAGAAGTAGAATCTTCTCCTGCCCCTAATAATTTCATCATCAGCTGAGTGAAGTGAGGCTGCATGAATTCCCAGGTAAGGTAGAAGAGGCCTTGCAGTTTCTTTCTAGCTCTGGCGAAAGTCAGCCTCCAGGCAAGCAGTCTAACTTAGACTGAGGGTGTTGGTGGGCAGCCAGGTTGGATATAAAAACCAAACACGTGGGCCTTGGGCTGGCTCGCTGTCACTCGCCTCCTGGCTACACAGCTTCTGGCTTGCAGCCAGCTCTCAGAGCGCCATTTTGGGATTCCTGATTGGTGGATTGGGTAGGACTTATTTAAAACTTTGTCTTCCACTTTTCTCCCTGAGCTGTACATTTCTTCATTTCCCCTTCCCTTGTAAATAAACCTTTTCTTAACCTTTTGTGTGTGCCTGCAGTAGAGCATTGATAAGTCCTTTTAAGTGCGTGGGTGAGGACCCACAGTCAGGCACCCCGTTTTGTATTGGGGTTGCTCTACAACAGTTTGGTGCCCAGCGTGGTTTCCAAGTTACACCCGCGGTTGACCAGCCCAAAGTAATATTCCTTGCGGGGAAATGATGTCCTGAGCTAATCCCATACAGGCTTTGTGGACCCCACCCCCACTCCAGACTAAAGCCATCAAGACATTGGGAAAGACAAATCCCATCACCACCAAAGGGAGGGTGGCTGGGACCTGAGGGTGGAGTTGGGCAGCCAGGTTGGATATAAAAACCAAACACATGGGCCTTGGGCTAGCTCGCTGTCGCTCGCTCCTGGCTACACAGCTCCTGGCTTGCAGCCAGCTCTCAGAGCGCCATTTTGGGATTCCTGATAGGCGGATCGGGTAGGACTCATTTAAAACTTTGTCTCCCACTTTTCTCCCTGAACTGTACATTTCCTCATTTCCCTTTCCCTTGTAAATAAACCTTTTATTAACCTTTCGCGTGTGCCTGCAGTAGAGCATTGATAAGTCCTTTTAAGCGTGTGGGTGAGGACCCACAGTCAGGCACCCCGGTTTGTATTGGGGTTGCTCTACAACATAACTACCCTGCTCTATCACGTAAGAAAGGCCACATGTATGTGCTCCGGTTGACAATCTCAGTCGAACCTAACCTTCTAGACACCCCTGCCAAAATTCCAGACAAGTGAGTGAAGCTGTCTAGACTCTGCTAGACTAGCCAGTTAGGTACCTCTGAATGACTTCAGCTGACATCACAAGAAACAAAATTCCAGTCCTGAATTCTTGACCTACACTAATTTGTGAAATAAGATAAAATATTTGTGATTTGCATGTTTCTTCTGTCTGGACCTCTCCTATGGACTCTAGACTCATATAGCCAGCTGCCTTCAGAAATTCTCTTAGATGGCTAGTACACATATCAAATTTAACGTGTCCAAAACTGAGCTCTTGTTAGTGCCCTCAAACCTGCTCTTCTCTCTTCTGGTTAAAGGTAGTTCAAATCTTCCAGTTACACATGTTTTAAACCTTCCTGTCATCACTCCTCTCTATCACATCCCTTGTATTCAATATGTTAGGAAATACCCATTGTCTCCAGCTTTAAAATACATCCAAACTGTGGACTGCTTCCCACCTCCTCCACTGTTATTCCACTGGCCCAAGCTGTCATCATCCTTCACTTAGATCACTGCAAGTCTCCTCGTAGTCTAGCTGTTGATGCGCTCGTTCAACATTAACGGAGGGACCTCCTCAGAAGGATCCTCCTAAAATGCCAGTTTATTGCTCTGCAAAATGATTCTCCATCTCAGTCAGAATAAATGTCGACAATATCCCGATAAGGTTTCCTCAACTTCTCCAGGTTAATCTCCTACTCCTCTTGTGCTCAGCTACAACTTCTTCCTGTTTCTTAAACTGGACAAGCCTCTTAGAATATTCTTTCCCAGAAACCATATTTTCAGATATATTCAAAAGTGAATTCCTTATAACCATATATAATCACATATGTCCACCAGAGTAATTGTGGCTATCATTTTGCAATATATGCCAATATTGAATCAGTATGTTATACAACCGAAACTAGTATGTCAATTATACCTCACTCTTGTTTTAAAAAAAAAACTTAAGCAGCATTGATTTACATCCTTGCTAGTGTATTGGAAGTAAATAATTTTCCCTAGTCACCACAGCACACCTACCACTGAGGCACCCATAGATAGGCCTTCACCATGGTCCATTCTGCTCTCTTCCCATCCTGCTTGCCCGCCTCTACATTCCCTTCTGGATTCCTCAGTTCCATGGTCAGCTTTCCAGGGTTGGTTTTATTTATTTTTTTTAAAGATTTATTTATTCATGTATACAAGAACCGGGGTACAAGCCAGAGGCGCGGGAGGGTGAGAGGATTCCCCAGAGACAGAGTGGGGAACAGAACAGGCAGACTAAGATACACTGCTGAGGGGAGCAGTGGGCGAGACAGGAGAGGTCTGCTGCGCCATGTGGGATTCTCCCCAGCCAGCCCGGATCAAACCCGTGCTGCAGAAGCTATGGCCAGCTTCACAGCACTGTGCTCCACTGCCTGAGCCACCAGGGGAGGCCATCAGGGGTTGGTTTTATTTTTTGTGGGACCCTCACCTTGCAGCCCAGCGCTCAACCACAGCGCCACCAGGGGAGGCCCTCAATGGTTGGTTTTAAAAAACTAGCAACAACAAATGTTGGCGAGGTTGTGGAGAAAAAGGAACTCTCCTGCACCGTTGGTGGGAGTGCAAACTGGTCCAACCACTATGGACAGCTGTGTGGAGATTTCTGGACCTACTAAACATAGAGCTTCCATATGATCCAGCAATTCCACTCCTAGGTATTTACCCAAAGGACACAGAAACATCAATTCCAAAGAGCACCTGCACCCCTATGTTTATAGAAGCACTGTTTACAATAGCTAAGCTTTGGAAACAACCCAAATGCCCAAAAATAGATGACTGGATCAAGAAGACGTGGTACATATACACCATGGAATATTACTCAGCATTCAAAAAAGATAAACACATGCAATTTGCAGCAACACGGATGGCGCTGGAAGGGATCATGCTCAGCGAAATAAGCCAGAAAGAAAAAGAAAAATACCGGATGGTCTCACTCATAGCAGGAATCTAGAAAACTTAAATAAGGGACCAGGAAAATGAATAACTATAAGAAAGTGAAAATCAAAATCAACAAACAACTATGAACCAGAGACACTCTATGAGGGGTGGGGGGCAGGGAGGGGAGGGATTGGGGTCAAAATAAGGGGGTTGCAATTGTATGGGGAATATAAAAATAAAATTTATTTTAAAAATAAATAAATAAATAAAGCTTGTCTTTGACCCTTTGTTTGGTTTCCTCATATTCCATAGATAAGTGACACAGTCCGGTTACATCTCACTTTTTAAAATTGTCTCTTAAAAGAGCTTTCTGTAAATACTTACTGTATCAGTGAAAAACACAAAATTTTTTCATCCAAGAAAAAGCAAACCCCTCTATTAAGGGCCTTACATTCATATCACACCTAAATTCCAGTTTCTACCTCTGAGCTCTCATAACTCAACTTCCTGCTTTACTTTTTTGATATATAACTAACATGTAACATTAGATGAGTTTCAAATGTACAACATAATTTGATTTGTATGTGAGATCATTACAGTAAGCCTAGTTAATATCCATCACTATACATTGTTACAATTTTTTACTCTTGTGATTGAGAACTTTTAAAATCTACTCTTAACAACCTTCAAATATACTACTAGAATTATCAATATTGACTATAATATGCTATATATTAACTATGGTGTACATTACATTTGCATGACTTATAGTTAGAGGTTTGTACTTCTTAACCTCCTTCACCTATTTCCCCTACTATTTCTGCCTCTGGCAACCACCAAACTGTTTTCTGTATCCATGGGCTTCAAGGTATTCTTTTTAGATTTCACATAAAAGTGAGATAATACGGTATTTGACATTCTCTGGCTTATTTCACTTAGCGTAATGCCTTCAAGTTTCATCCATATGCTTGAAAATGGCAGGCTTTCTTTCTTTTTCAAGCTAAATAGTAGTTACCTGTATATTTATATAAAACACCTTCTTTATCCATTGATACTTAGGTTGCTTCCACTCATGGCTATTGTAAATAATGCTGCAATGAACATCAGGGTGCATCCATGTTTTTGAACTATTTTTTTCATATTCTTTGGATAAAGTCCCAAAAATGGAGTGGAATTACGGATCTTAGTGTACTCCTATTTGTAATTTTTTGAGGAAACTCCATACCATTTTCCATAGTGGCTGTACCAATTTTTATTACCAATAATAGTGCACAATGATTTGTTTCTATTCTCCATATCTTTGCCAATATTTGTTATTTATTTTTTGTCTTTTGGATAACAGCCATTTTCACAGGTGTGAGGTGATGTCTCATTGTGGTTTTGATTTGCATTTCCCTTGTGATTAGGATGCTGAGCATCTTTTCATGTACTTGTTGGCCATTTGTATGTCTTCTTTGGAAAAAAATGTCTATTAAGTTCCTCTGCCCTCCCTGCTTTATTTTTGTCCTTTGCACACATCATTGTCTAATATATATTTTAATTATTTATTGTCTATTTCCCCCCATCAAAGGTAAGCACTACAAGGTAAGCAATTGTGTCTCATTTGTTTATTGCTGTTTCCCTGGTGTTTAAAAATAGTACCAGGCACATAGATAGCATTCAAAACATTTATTGATCAACAAATTTCTCAATACAGTTAACACTAGGAAAGAACGGGTATAAGAGGGGAGGAAGGGAGATACAGCTAAGGAAAATTATAAGAAATAAAAGCTATAATTACAGTTTCATTATGTCTTCTACCAATTATTTGCAATTTTCTAATTGCATTCTTGATAAGTATCTGGATTCAACAAAAAAAGGAGTGGATGCTTTAAGCAAAGTTCATTTATTTTTCATGATGCTCCTCTCTTGACTTTGAGTCTCTGCTCTCCTGGAGTCCCAGGAGAACTGCATCAGCCTCTAGTATAGTTGTATCTGTCGTTGCTCCCAGGAACCTGGACGTAAGTTCGAGATCTAACAGCCGCAGTCGGACTCTGGTTCCTTTCTGGTATTTCCTAAATGGTAAGAAAGAAAAAAGTTTCTTAATTCTGTTTATCATAATAGGAACAACTAAACTTTTAATTTATTAGCTGAACATAAAGAAACTAACCCTCCTATCTGATTAACAGTTGTTTTTAACAGAAAACAACTATGGGTTCTAGCAGAATGTTCATCTTACAGTTGCCTTTAAAGATTTTATAACATTAAAATGTATTCCAAACTGAAATTCAAACTAGTTGGTTCTTGAAATGAACATTTATTTTAATGTTACTGATTTCTAAAATCAGAGTAACAAGGAAGAAAGTTTTCAGATCCTTTTTTCTAAGATTGAAATCTTGTTTTAAAGTAAATTTTATAAAAGCAAAATAGAAAAAAAAACCTAAGTGCAGGGCCTCCTCAGTGGTGCAGCGGGTTGAGCACAGCACTGTGAAGCTGTCCACAGCCTCTGCAGTGTGTTCAATCAGCAGTTGGCCAGGGAGCAACCCACGTGGCACAGCAGACCTCTCCTGTCTCGCCCACTGCTCCCCTCAGCAGTGTACCTCGGTTGATCTGTCTGTTCTGTTCCCCACTCTGTCCCTGGTGAATCCTCTCACCCCCCACACCTCTGGGCTGTACGCCAGCTCTTGTATGCATAAAATAAAAATAAATCTTGAAAACAAAAATCTAAGTGCAAAGTACTTGGTATTGAGGATTGATTGCCCTGTAACTGGAGTGGAATGATGGTTGCAACATGAATGATGACTCAGTTTGGTCAAAATTCAAATATTTTATAATAGCCAGTAAAAACAAATACTCATTTGTCTTTTTTCCTTAATTATTTCAAGAGTTTAACATCAACGTTTTTATAAGATACAGGAGAGTAAAAATATTGCTACTGATTGAAAACCACAAATCTTTAAAGATCTAAAGACATACATTAGGCTATTTGGCTTTTTTTTTTGAAGTTATTTTCTTTCTGAACATAGAAATGTTCTTTTGCAAAATATAGCAGTAATGACGTCAGTCACATTTTCTAGTCCTCCTCTATGTATATTCTTATATATGTACACATGTGTATGTGTATATTTGACAGTAAAGATCATATTTTCTTCTTTGTTTTAAAAAATTAAAAATATCCTAGGGGCCTCCCTGGTGGCGCAGGCACTGAGCACAGCACTGTGAAGCTGTCTGCAGTCTCAGGAGTGCCGGTTTGATCCCCACCAGGAGCAGAGCAACCCACATGGCACGGCAGACCTCTCTGTCTCACCTGCTGCTCCCCTCAGCAGTGTATTTCAGTCAGTCTGCCTGTTCTGTTCCCCGCTCTGTCTCTAGTGAATCCTCTCACCCTCCTGCACATCTGGCCTGTACCCTGGTTCTTGTATAAATAAATAAATCTTTTAAAAAATACATCCTAGAAGGGCCTCCCCTGGTGGTGCAGTGGTTGAGCACTGGGCTGCGAGGCTGCCCGCAGCTTCTGCAGCACCGGTTCGTTCCCCGGCCGCCGGAGAGGGTCCCACAAAAAAAAAAAAAAATATATATATATATATATATATATCCTAGAATATATTTCTGGAGGCATAGCTTTTTAATATTCTAGAAAACAGCAAATATAGAACATACTCCATGTGAATTAACCTCTGGGAAAATAAGGTCACTTCAGTTTAGTGTCTATAATACTTGGAGCTGTAACCTGTATTCTAAAGGACTCTTTCCTTTGTCCTCACAGTGCAAATCACATGATTCACTAGATCAGTGTTTTTTCTTTTTTTAAAGATTTATTTATTTATTTACACAAGCACTAGATATAGTCAGAAGCGCGGGAGGGTGAGAGAATTTACCAGTGCCAGAGCGGGGAGCAGAACAGACCCACTAAGTACACTGCTGAGGGGAGCAGCGGGCACGGCAGGAGAGGTCGGCAGGAGAGGTCGGAGTGCCATGTGGGACCCTCTGGAACCGGCACTGCAGAGGCTGTGGGTAGCTTCGCAGCCCCAGCCCAGCGCTTAACCACTGCGACACCGGGGAGGCCCTAGATCAGTTTTGATTCAGGTTGTCCCCTCCCTTTGCCCCTTCTCCCCTGCCACATCCAATTAGGACCACATTTTGTTCATGTATTTTTTTTTAACACAGTTCTTGAACTTAGCCCTGCAAGTCTCATCATCCTTAGTTAAAACATGATCTTCCAGGACCTCACCTTTCTAGTAAACACCTTCCGATGGATTCCATTTATCTGGTATGCTTAAGTGGAAACAGCCTAGTGTCCACTCACAAATTTCTATTCCTCCAGACTTTTGCATCTGTGGTTGGCACTGCTTGAACTTTATAACTTTATCTAAATCCTGTTGATTCTTAAGCATCCAGGCAAAAGTCATCAAATGCAGCTTCTATGAGCCTTGACATTCCCCTTGTCAAAATGAAGAGTCCATCAGGAATTCCCATGGAACAAAGAAGTTTTGCAGTAACACAGACATAGAGCTGGGTTACTTTAGATAACTTGCCTTCTGAACCCCATTTCCTCATTCATGTAAAAGATTCCAAAGATTTTGCAGCTTTGCTATGAAGATACACAGAGGATAATACATTGAAGACACATAGCACTAGGAGCAAATGTTAGCACCCTTCAGTAACTTGTATTGATTATCTGTGTAATTCTGATTTCTCACTAGATTGCACGCACTCCTCGTACTGTATAGTCTTCCCAGGGCCAGTGCAACAGGTACTCAAATGTCTGTCAATAAACTAACAAGAAGCTTGCTCATAAAGCCACCAGGTCATGGATTATCTAGAATTTCTGTTGTCTGAACTTCAGCAGCTGTGTTAACTGGTTCATTTACTTAACCCCTCTGAAATTTGCTTGGCACATTGCCTGACATATAGAGATTAACAAATGTTAGTTTTCTTCTCCTAGCATTGTTTTTTGTTAGCCTATTTCTTTTACTTACTCATAGGTAGGCTATAAACTAAAAGTGATGAGGGATACAGTAACTCTTTTTTTTTTTTTGTTTGATTTTTTCTGTCCTTGCCATATTACTTTATTTTTATTTTATTTATTTATTTATTTTTTTTAATAGAGGCATGTTCCATTTATTTATTTGTCTGCTTGTTTGTTTGTTTTTTGTTTATACATGCACTGGGTACAGTCAGAAGCGCGGGAGGGTGAGAGAATTCACCAGAGCCAGAGCGGGGAGCAGAGCAGGCAGAAGGACCGAAGTACACTGCTGAGGGGAGCAGCGGGCGGCAGGAGAGGTCTGCGCGCCATGTGGGACCCTCCTCCGGTGACCGGGGAGCAGCCGGGGATCGAACCGGCGCTGCAAAGGTTGCGGGCAGCTTCGCAACCCAGCGCTCAACCGCTGCGCCACTGGGGAGACCCGGGATACAGTAACTCTTTATAAGTAGTTGAATTCATGTCATGAACACATGGTACAAATGTTCTGAGCATAGTCATGTGGAAAAAGAAGCTCTGTTTTGTGTCATATAAATGACAGTCCGTGTCATATAAATGCTAGCAATGTGCAATTAAAAAATAAAACCAGAAACACCATGAATGACCAATATGTTTGGTAATTTATGGAAGACAAAATTCTGCTCCCAATTTTAGATGCAGTAGCCTTTAATAAAAATTATGGAAATTATCCAGTAAGTTGGTAAATTAGATGAAAAGCTAACTGGAGGCCTTACCATGTGCTAAATAACAGAAGAAACATCAAAATGTACATTGTGCACAGTAAACAAAATTAAAAACCTCTAGAAGATTCTGTCCTCTGCTAACTGAAAACAGTTGTTTCCGCTTATAAGTTATTTTTTTTACTCTGTATTATTTAATTGTATGTAAGTGATATCTTTCTTATCACATTGTAAGTTTGTTAAAGATAGGGATATAAACCTATCTATGTCTCTCCCCTTACAATACCATGGAGAATACATTTCACTTAATGTAGCCTTTTGAAAGGTGGTTTTCATACTTTTCAGTACATCGGAAGCACCTCGGTTGCTTGCTAAAAATGCAAATGGCAGGAAGCAACCCCATAGAGTGATTTGACAAAGTGAGGAGAGGGACTGGGAATCTGCCTTTTCAATAAACTTCCCAGGTGATTCTGACGCAGTCTTTTCTGATCACCATTGGAGAAACTCAGACCTAGATTTACCTTTATTGCATACAATCAAGTACAGAAGGACAGGCCATCCTACACAAATACAAAGGGACAATAAAACAAGGACCTCTCTTAGAATTTTGTGGCCACCATTAACTACTTCCAAGAGTAACAGATATTTTCCATAAGTGATGATAGTTTTTTAGGATGAATAATTTAGACAGATCAAAACCTTAAGTCAGGGCCTCCCTGGTGGCGCATGGGTTAAGTTTAGTTCTGTGAAGCTATCCACACCTCTGCAGCACAAATTCGATCCCAGGCCAGGGAGCTACCCACATGGCACAGCAGACCTCTCCTATCTGGCCCAGTGCTCCCCTCAGCAGTGTATTTCAGTCAGACTGTTGTGCTGTTCCCCACTCTGTCTCTAGTGAATCCTCTTATCCCCCTCCCCCTGCACCTCTGGCCTGTACCCCAGTTTTTGGGGTTTGCATAAATAAATAAAGCTTAAAAAAAAAAAAAAACCCTAAGTCAGGCAATGACAATATGTAATGGAGAAACACACCTAAGAGGAGCCCCTCAGCAAACCTCACTGACAGCCTCGAGCAGGGCTGCCTCTCCATTCTGGGAAATCCAGGACATAGAGGGCTCAGCATATTTCTCCCTCAACAGGAATAACAGTCTGAATTAATGTGGATTTTTATTCTTAACTTTGAAACACTTTATTAAAGAGAAAGAGAAATAACTAATATATTTCTGAAAACTCCATCTCTGCCAATGTAATTTGATACGGTCTTTATTGGAATCTTTGATATTCACTGATAGTTTTCCCATTGTTCCATATAATAAGATTTAAAGTGACATGCCAGTAAACTCCTTCCTCAGATTGTATATGCAGTCCTAAAATGATCTCTTTAGTCAATGATTTTCTGAAAGCATAAAAATCCAGA